AAGTTACCAAAATTATCTTTACCCACATTTAGCGGAAATTTAACTGAATGGATAACATTTAAAGATTTATTTAACGCTAGTGTTCGCAACAATTCAAATCTTTCTGGAGCTCAAAAATTTACAATATTTAAAGAGTTCTTTGAAAAATGATGCTTATCGCATTATTCAGTCAATTCCCATAGCTGATCAAAATTTCAGTATTGCTTGGAATTTACTAGAAGAGAGATTTTCTAATAAGAGAGAACAGATATTTGCTTTTATTAAAAGAATTCTTAACGTTTCACAAATACAAAAGGAATCTGCATCCTCGATATTAAGTTTAGTAGATAACGTAAACGAAATAACTCGCTCATTGGAAATATTAGATCAAAGGATAGATAATTTTAGTGATACTTTGTTGTTGTATATTATTTTGCAAAAACTTGACGTTTCGACAAAGTTGTGGTGGGAGCGTCAATTAAAAAAAGATGAAAATACCAAAGTTGAATGACTTGATAGAATTTTTGAAGAATTACGCTAGAACATTACAGAACAGTAAACCTTTAGTTAGTAAACGCATAAATCAGATAAACCAGATGTATAACCAGAGTATAATAGGGTCTTCTCTGATTTCTAATTCTACCTGCTTATTTTGTAAAGAAGATCAATTTTTTTATACAGGTGTTCTAATTTTTAAATTTACCAGTGCGAAAACGAATAGAGTTTGTTAAGACTAATAAACTTTGTTTTAATTGCTTTTGTCTAATGTCCATAAAGTTAAAATGTGTAAGAGTGCAAACACCTGCAAGCATTGTTTTAAGCATCCTCATAGCATTTTTGCATTTAGAAAATAATTTCAAACCAAAAAATGCATCTAGATTTCCCTTCATCGGAAGCACAAAGTGTTTGTTCCGAAATCGCAAAATTAAAAACAGAAAACAACTTTGAGTGAGGTTTCTCCAACTGTTTGTGCAAACAACTATGAAAAATAAACCATTTTGGAGCTCATGCTAATGGTAAATGTAGTCATGTACTTTTGTGTATCTGCTTTAATTAAGGTTCAAAACTCAAACCAATGAATTCATAAATTGTAGATGTTTACTAGATTCAGGTAGTGAAAAATCATTCATTCGTCGGAAAACAGCTATCAATTTAGGATTGAGCATAAAGGATTCGAAGATATTAGTGTCATGCTTAGGTACTTTCAATACAACTACTACTGGAGAAGTTGACTCCTGTTGTTTACACCTCATTTTAATACTAAGCTACAGAATTTCAACATCCGCTTACATAATAGACAAAATTACAGGAAACATTCCAAGTGTAACTTTACCTTGAATTTATATGAAAATTTCCAGGATTTAACTTTAGCAGATCCTACATTTCATGAATCGGGAGAAAAAATTGATATTTTACTTGGAGTAGTTAATGTATTCCTTACTTTAATAAATGGCGAGGTAATAATTAAAAGGGGCAAAAATCTTCCATTTGCATGTTGTTCTAAGTTAGGATGGATAATTGCTGGAACTACACATTTTGAATTCCCAAACCGTAAGCAGGTTTCAGTCAATACGCTAAACGTAAACACGGAGGAATTAGTTAAATCATTTTGGGATTTGGAACAAATTCCCACATCGAAAACCTTTAACTAAAGAGGAAAGATTGTGTGAAAACTCATTTCGTGGAAAACTCACGTGCGTAGTGAAAAGGGGTCGTTACTCAGTAAAAACTTGCCATTCAAGCCTAAAAGAAATGAGTTGGGTAATTCCAGACTATCAGCCTTGCGCAACTTTCATAATTCAACTTTCTTTTTCTTTCTTGCGCAATAACTTTCTTTTTAGTTCTTGCGCAACAACTTTCTTTTTATTTCTTGCGCAACTTAACAAAAACTAATAAAAACTCCTGAAAGTATATCAACAGTATAAAGACTTCATGTCCGAATATTTATCACTTGGACACATGGAAGAATTATCCGATGATAATCCAGATAAAGTAAATTTTCATTATTATATACCTCATCATCACGTGCTAAAAGAATCCAGTCTTACCACAAAATTACGCGTCGTTTTCAATGCTAGTGCCAAAACTACATCAGGGATATCGCTTAATGACACGCTAATGAATGGTCCCAAGGTACGAGACGACTTATTTACTATTCTTTTGAGGTTTAGATGCTATCCCATAGCCATTACTAGTGACTTATTGAAAATGTATCGACAAGTTCAAATTCATGATGAAGATCGCGATTACCAAAAAATATTTTGGAGAGATGATCCATCTCGAAGCCGATTAAAACTTACAGGTTGTGCACAGTTACGTACGGCACTACTTCCGCTTCATACCTGGCTACTCGCGTACTCAAACAACTAACAATTGACGAAGGAACTAAATTCCCAAAGGCAGCTGAAATATATTACACAATTGTTATATTGATGATGTCCTATTTGGTTCAGACACAGTAGAAGACGCAGTAGAGTTAATTTTTCACAACTGAGTGAACTTTTACAAAAAGGTGGCTTTCAATTGCATAAATGGTGTACTAATGATCGCTCGATTTTGGAAACTGCTTTGAGTGCTCGGAACTCAAATTCTTCATGTGCAGTAGTTGATACTAAATCAATAAAATTATTGGGTTTGGAGTGGTATCCAACGCAAGACGAGTTTACTTGCCACTTTGGAAATCTCGAAAACAGAGAGTGTTCTACTAAAAGAATAATTTTATCTTCTATTTCGAAAATCTTTGATCCACTTGGTTGGTTAGCACCTTTTATAGTTGCAGCAAAAAATCTTGCTTCAAGACATATGGAAATTACAAATCTCGTGGGATGATCCCTTGCCAGATGAAATCAATCAAAGATGGAAAATCTATTGTGAAGATATCGCAAATCTTGAATGCATTCATATTCCTAGGAGAGTATTATTGCCCAAATCTACAAATATAGAACTTCATTGTTTTCTGTGACGCATCATCAGAGAAAGCTTACGCCGCAGTGATTTATTTAAAGTCTTCAAATCATTCTTCAATTTCGGTGCAGCTACTAACATCAAAAACTCGCGTAGCTCCCTGAAAGTAATCTCTATTCCTCGTTTAGAACTCTGCTCTGCAGTTCTATTAGTGCATTTGGTTCAAGCTGTGCAGAATTCATTGCAAATTCATGTTGACAGTATTTACGCATGGAGTGATTGAATGATAGTTTTGTCCTGGATACAATCAGAACCAACACGCTGGCAAACCTTCGTAGCCAACCGCGTTTCAGAAATTCAATCAGTCTTACCTTCATCACATTGGAATCACATAAAAGGAAAGGAGAATCCAGCTGATTGCGCATCAAGAGGTCTTTTGCCTTCAGAACTTTCTACTCATGACTTGTGGTGGACAGGTCCTCAGTGGCTTAATTCAAATAATATTCCATTCTCTATCAACTTACCATTTTCAGAAGAGTCTTTAAGGGAACAACGGAAAAATATTTCTTGTTCAATTGGAACAGTCGCTTCGCAAATTCCAGTCCTTAATGAAGTTTCATCATTTTTGAAACTTAAAAGAATCATCGCATGGTGTTTTCGGTTTGCGAATAATTCAGCTAAATCTACCGCAACAGAATTAAGGGTTACCTTAAAATCGAAGAAGAAGAAGAATTGCAATACGCTAGAAATGCAATTGTTAGAGTAGTTCAAATGGATGAGTTTTTTAATGAATATAATCTTCTGAAAAAGAATCAACCGTTAAACTCAAATAGTAAGATCCTTGCTTTGAACCCGTTTATCGATAAGAATGGACTTATACGCGTTGGAGGAAGATTAAGACAATCCAACATCGCGCAGGACAGAAAAATATCCTATTTTGTTGCCCAAGAAAATCACATAACACAGATTATAGTGAATCATTTTCATGAATCTCATCTTCATGCTGGCCCCCTGCTATTACTATCAGTAATTAGAAGAGAATACTGGATAATCCACGCTAGGTCAGTTGTAAGACAACAGATTTTCAAATGTGTGAAATGCCATCGTGTACGAGCTAAAACCCAGATAATGTCTGATTTACCATCGTCTAGAGTCGTTCCGTCAAAGGTTTTCTCCAAGGTTGGAATTGACTACGCCGGGCCATTTCAAGTGAACTCCAGGCAAGGTCGAAGAGTAAAACCAATGAAATGCTACATTTGTGTATTCGTGTGTTTTACTACAAGAGCTATTACATATTGAAATTAGTAGGTAATCTTAACATCAGAATCATTTATTGCCGCTTTGAAGCGCTTTGTATCTCGAAGAGGAAAACCAGGAACTTTTTCCTAGCTCAGATAATATTGTGCGTATCGTGAAGATCAAAACCGCTAACGGAGTTTTCAAAAGGCCAATTCACAAAACTTAGTGTTTTGCCTACAACGATTAAGTTTTTTTCCTAAAGCATTATAACTTTTACTTTGCTTTAGCTATATAAGTTCCTGGAATTGTAATCAAGGCTTCTGTGCATCTGTTTTTGAGAACAATTTAGTTTCATTGCATAATTTCATATTATGTTTTCTTGTGAATATTTTGATGATACATTTTGCATAATTTAATATTGTTATGATAACTTCATTTTGTAAAAGCTATTTAGTTTGAAACGATGTTTCAAACGCCGGGCGGAATGTTTCAGCCACCAGAGCTCTCTGCCTGTCTGTTAGATATTATTTCGCAATGCGCAGATTGTATGCGTAGTTCGCATTTTGTTCTTGCATTCTTAAAACCGCTAATTGTAACTCTGTCGTTTTTACTTTGTGCTTGTGTGTGTTTCGAAAGGTTCAAACCGCGAATAAAGGTTAAATTTTACAGTCCACTCGCAGTGATGTATTCTTAGGTTTATTAATTTAAAGTTAAGATACCGCTTCGCTACAGTTTCATTTAAATTCGAAGCAATTTTAAAGTTACTTTAAGTGTCAAATTTAGCATTTTGCACGATCTTTTCCATAAATTCGAAGAATGCGTAATTCTTGCACTGAAATTAAAATTTTAGTTAGCAAAATTTAATAAACAAAGAAAAGTTTTTTCATCAATAAAGCAAGTTTTATTTCATTTTATTAAATAAAATTCATAAGAAATCCACACTTAGTTACAATCCAGGATAAGGAACACTAGCTACAGCCATGTCCAAAGCTTTTCTGTAAGGTCGAAGGAAAATTTCTTGAATCATCTCAGTGTACTTGTGGAAGAAATGCTCACTAATCATTTCGGAATCTAAATTTTCGGTAAAACCGTCGGTAATGATTTTTATTGTTGGTTTACCTACATTTTTCATTTGCAGCCTCTTAATTGAAGGAAGATTTAAATGGGGGGACGACGTTATTTCTATAGTAGCTTGTGTATCTGCAATGGAGGCTGTCAGTCCGAAATTGTGTTGTATAAACCTAGCTTTGTTGTACGTCGAAATCACCTTCTGTTGCCTGCCTTCGTATTTCACATCAAGGAGCGGTAGAGTTACTGAGCATGTAACAGTGATATTGCTTGCAGTCCACTGTGGCCTTTCGCAACTCTTTCTGTAGATTGACTGAATACCTGTCAAATTACCATAAAAGTAGAGAATTTTGAAGTTTGTAACGGATCCATCAGATGATCTTTCCTGTGCATTGTGAGAAAAGTCCTGCAGCTCATAAAGCTTTAGATTTTGTTTTTCAACTGCCCACGGAACATAGACAGAAAGTACTTCATCTAGGTATTCATCAGCATCGTTTATGCTGCCTGAACCAGATACGAATACAGCTGAAAAAAGAAAAATCTTTTAAAATAACTAACAATAATTAAATAATTTTCAACATGCAAGTGCAGACACTTTAAATGGATTAAAAATTCCATGAACATCATTTTTTAATTATTGAAACTGGAAAAAACTGCATTATTAAAATATCAAAACTCTAATATAAAAAGGAAGATTTTGTAAAAACCCAGATTAAGAGGTCGGGCAAATACAAAAATATTGCTAGACTGGAAAATATTCTACATTATAACTATCTCGCAAGATTGTTAAATCTTTAAATAATCGCCGAGGGTTTAAATAAAGTAATTGTATACGTAACGTTATTTCAAATTTAACTCAAATTTAATTGCATACATAACGTTATTTCAAATTTAACGCGTCGAATTTCCTATACTTGGCCCAAACGCGAAATTGACACTTCTATATACATAAGAATGGAGATCGATTTGATTCATTCCAATGTACATTATTTTCCAAGTGGCTAAATAGATAAGGCTATTGAATACTGGTAGGTTTTCCTGGACTGTCGTCATTAAACTAACTGAATGATGTTTTCGTGGTTTTCTCACGCGTAACTTGAACACGAACCAGTTTCCCGAAGATAATCTTCGGCATCTATCTTAAGGTAAATGCACTCCCGTATTTTGTCATAATCAATTAAATATCCAAACCCTAAGTTACATCGCTATACGATATATCAAGATCTGGGAAGTACAAAGTCGAACTGGAAAGTTTCTGAAAGACATTTGAAAAATTTTTTGCTATCCTAACCGACTGTCGACTTACGACGAATGAATCGCCGTATGTTGACACAGTATCACATAGGACGTGTTACTGTGAAATGACGTTGCAAATCATTTCACAGTATTCAAAAGTAGGCATAATAAAGTTCAGCCTCCACTTGTGTGTAAAAGAATACGAGCATTTGTGAAACTATTATAAAAATTATGTGTTAGCTGTATGGTATACCTTACCGGTTTTACGGCTATGGCTAAAAAATATAAATTCCGGTATTGTTAAAAATTGGCTACCAGTGGTACTGGTTAGTGCGTGTTGCTGATGCTGGTTAATGCAGCGTAAGGAATTAAATGTTAAAATGTGTCTTAACTTAGTGAGCGTTAACTTCGGTCACAGAGCACATTTCTTTTGCACAACTAGCATAGGCATAGTATAAAACAGGTAACATTTGAGGACGGTTTGTCTTTTCTCGTTGCCGGGGTTGCAATTCCCTGGAGACTCAACCAATAATGCCATTATGACATTGCCAAAGATTTTACATACAACTAAACGCCTTCTAACGTGGTCGCATAGCAGGGATGCCTGAAGCGAGTTGTTCATACCAGGCAATATGCCGCCTCTTGCACCGTATGAATATGACTCTGCAAAAGTGCTAACAACAATGATTACTTCAAGGTAGAATCAAGGCTCTGAGGTGAAGTTGCCCGAATGCGAGGCAGAATCGGGTGAATGGGTAACAAGACCACTGGTCCAAAGAAATCATTCTCCTCTATCTAACGTGCTACAGCCTCTTCCATACCACACGTGACACTTTCCACCATTTTACGGCGCTTCGCTGAGGGGGTGTTGCCCTTACAGCGATCTTTAAGACGTCTGCCTTTAAACCTACAACATTGACAGAGTCGTTTGGACTGGTGTTGTAACCGATCACCGTGGCTGCCAGATGATTATCATCGCACAGTATTCAGCGATGAATCCCGCTTTAGTCTTGGATCAGATGAACATCGGTTTCCTGTGTGGAAGGGCCACGGCCAGCGGTCCCAGCCAGCCTTTATTTTACAGAGGCACACACCCCTGATGTGATGGCGAGGGTTCCTATCCCTTACTACAGTAGGTCTAATTTAGTCATCTTGCATGCTAAACAGCTGAACTATATATTAATGACATCCTGCGGCTTTTTGCGTTACCCTTCATGACATGCCATCCTGGAGCCATTTTTCAACAGGATATTGCTAAACCCCATATGCCTCGCATGTCTGTGAACTGTCTCCGAGCTGATGATACTCTTCTTTTGCCATCAAGATCAGCAGATCTTTCGCTAATCGAACAGGTATGGGACATAGAAGCCATCAAATTTTGAGGCCCCAGAATATCTCAGGTTTGGCGTAATAATTGAGAAATGCTTGCAGAATGGTTGTAGAATCATGAATCTGCAACACTCTTTACTTTAACTTTTAGATGCATACATTGCAGTGAGAGGGGGATTTCACTAATTACTGTTCTGAACCTTCAATGTGCAATTGCTAGCCATTGATGTGTCCTATGGCCTTGTATTTCTAATCATTTCATTACCTGTGTGAAAGCTTTACGCATATTTAATTTCAATAAAAAAGCCACTTTCTTCATGGTGCTTCTTTCTCGCTCCCCGCCCGAAAAAAAGAGTGTATTTTCTTTTTATTATAAGACTAAAGAATGTTGTTTGTAGATTAATTACATAACAATTATTATCTTTCCTCATCATTTGCTTACAGATTCGGAAATAACTTTTTGCGTTATGTTACCCGAGTTCAGCTTTATATGTCAAACTTATATTAAAATTGACAAAATATATTTCATTTCTTATAAGCAGGATTGCTTTTTTGAAATCTAAGTTTATTTTTAAATAATTTAGTTCTCAAGCCAGTTTTTGATATCGTTATGAGAACTGAATTGCTTCTAGAATTTCTTTCACTAATCTTGTAACATATGTGTTAGGCTTGCCATGTTGGAAAACAGTCTTATCGAGTCTTTCAACGTATTTTAGATGTTTTTGATTCAATGCTTCGTTCAGATTGATTTTCTGTTTTTTGTTTGTCAGACTGACTGTCTCACGCGGCAGCTAAAACAGATTTTGTTTCCTGGTTTTCTATGCTCTTTTTCTTCAAAATCGTTCCATGCATACAAAAATCATTATTTTAAAATCACCCAAACCGTAGTTTACAATTTGTATACGATGGAGTATGTTCACCCTAATTTTCAGTGATGAAGCAAAATTTCTCGCACATGCTGTTTTTTTTTAATTTAATATTATCAAATGAAACTGGAAAAAGCATATTTCCTACATTTCTAATAAATGTGAGAGACTTCAGCGTGGGCTGTATGGAATTGCATGTAATAGTTTTGGTGTTAAATCGAATGTTAGCGCAGTTATTTATAAACAAGGCATTGTACCCTTTATTTCATATGGATGTAGAACTTGGGGATTGTCTCTAAAAACGAAAATTAACTCTAAACGCCTGCTTCGAGTTCAAAGGCGAATTTTACTGCGAGTTATAAGGGGTTACCAAACTATTAGTTACAATGCTGTTTTCTCTCTTGCCAGATTTCCACCGCTGGATTTGTTTATTCTGACCTTTATAGATTACAAGAATAGTCTTGCAAACTGCTCCAGTTCTCATTTTGATAGTTTGTTGCCCTTGTCTGTTCTTCCACATCCTTCTGTAAGACAACCAGTACAGATTCAGTATGGACACTGATGTAAATTCGTTCTCACTTGTGTTGCATACGGATGGTAGTAGTATTGATGATAAAGTTGTTTTTACTTACGTTAGTTTTGAAGATGATATTGAAATTGAGTGCCACGAATTTCGCATTAGAAATGAATGTACTGTATATATTTATGACCTTTTGTGTATTAAGTTTGCAATTAAGTAGATAATTAGCCAGAACGTACGTGGTTCCAGCTACTTACTCTCTTCCCTGGAGAGTACGGATTTACTCTCTTCTCAGAAGTCCCTTAAAATACCTCTTTATGTAATGATATTATTGTTAATATACAGAAGTCTCTCGGAGATCTGGAGAAGAAGGGTATTTTAGTGTTTTTTACATTCGTCCGGGTCATTCGGGTAATTATGGAAACGAGAGAGCTGATTGGCTTGCTAAGAATGCAACTAAAAATGATATTAATGTTGATGTAAATGTTCCAAAATCTTATTTCAAAAAAACATTCAAAGCTAAAATGATTGAGCAGTGTAACTGTGATTATATCTCTTCTGATAAAGGATCTGTTACAAAAACATTCTTCCCAACTATTTTTGAAAGACTAAAAAGTAAGGACTTGTTGCTCAATTTTAAAGTTACGCAATTTTTGTCTGGACATGGTAAGTTTAATACTTATTTTGAACGATATAAACTGACATCTTCCAATTTGTGTTATTGCAATCTTAGCGTTCAGCAAAATGTTTTCCATCTGCTTTTTGACTGTCCATTGCTTGATAAAGCAAGAAATCTATTGAAGAACATATTAAAATTAATTGGAATTCATTGGCCGCCGAAATGTTATGATTTTGTATGTTCAGCTTCGACCTACCGAGCTTTCAACGATTTTGTTGACTTTTATTTTAAACATTGTAAATGATTTCTTTATAAAGTTTTATACTTTTGTATTTACCTTTTTTGTGTTTTTTTCCCTTTGTGTATGATTTCATTGCATTATTGAAAATTGAAGTTATTACTTTTTTGCCTTTTTTACTTACGATTTGTAAGTCTCGTGTGATATTTTGTGGTGCACGAGGATTTCCTTTTCTTTAAATAAAAAAAAAAAACTTTTTTTTAAATGCTGTTTTTTTCTTACCTTGCCCACAAAACTCAACACTTTCGATTAGGTAAAAATAAATATTGTTTACATTTCAAGCAAATTTCAAATACTAAATATTTACGGTTGCTATCAAACATTTCAAATACAGGGTGTGTTTAGATCAAGCTGTATGCAAACGATACTATTAACAGCACCAGTTAGAAAAAAGAGCGAAATATTATTTATACACCCAACAGTACTAATTTGGTAGGAAATTGTTAGTTCCCAAAACCTGGCAAACACATGTCAGATTGGGCTTTAATACCATAATTTTGTTTTAAAATTAGCTAACCGCTACTGCTTATGACGGTCGAAAGAAGTCTCGGCAATCAGAAATTTCTTTATTCATATTCACTTTACTGACAAGAAAATATAAAATTGACCATCAATCTTTCAAAGAAATAGGAAAGTCATATTAAGGAAAGTTTTTAGCATTTTTAAGTTTCTATTAATAGTTATGGAAATTTTTCAACGTATGACGGATACGTGTAACATTCTTTTGAAGAAAATAGTTAAATATCATCTTAGATTGATGTACAGGTTTATGAAAGCTCTGTCGCTTTCAAGAAATTGCAATAAAGACGTAAAAGTAAAGGAATATCAAAAATATGTTTCTAAGCTGTTAATTTAGAAAGTCTTCAGATGAACCCGGTTAAACACCTTGCCATTCTATGTTATTCAAAGATAACTTAAACATCTGAAAACTGTTATCACTTAATGCTAATACGGAGACAGAGTATTTTATTCGCTTTTTTCCCTGTTGTGTTGGCAGTGGTAGGTCATTTTTGTTCAATGGCGTATAAATAATTATACTTAGTGGAATTTTAATGTCCTTATACATCACCTTTACATTTACCTCTTAATTCGAAAACAAATGTATTTAAACAACTACTAACAAGGAAGACGCACACATTATCATATACCAAAAGTAATTATACATCAAAAGATCTCCTTTTCACAATTAACACGCTTCATCATTGGACATGGACCCTTCCCGACATATGCTTACAGATTTGGCATTTCAAAAACTTACAGTTGCATATGTGGCGATTAAGATACCCATAAGCACTACTTAAAAAACTGCCAAATAACGGAAGGGCTGTATATTAAGTTTCCGAATAACAATCTGCAAGCATTCAGCATATATTTAATTAAGGGATATCACTAAATGCAGAAAATCTGCGAGATAATGTATGCGCTCTCCCAGTACGGAGAACTGTATTGTGCTGCGTATAAAATAACCCTATACTTCCTAAGTGGATAATATGCTAATGAATTTCTTATATATAGTATCACAGAATCTCTGTAGCACAAAAGATATATGAACTGTTATGACATATACATACGAACTAATGTTTCATGCCTTAAACAAGAATCGTTGATTGTATCCTATTGTATGTTACTATATTCTTTTGTATATTATTATATATATATAATCTTAGTACCATTCAGTGTAAGAATGTAACCTATAGGATAGGATAAGAACAAGCGTGTAAAGCCCAGCCACAGCGCCTTACACAAAACTGGTATAGTCCTAGTACACTAATAATCTAGAGCAACTCATATCCGCAGAGGACGTCAAGCGTTCTGCTTCGGGAGCTGGCAGGCCGATAGTTTTGAGACATTCTGTCACCGAAAGAGGTCACGCACCCCATCCTAAAACTAAACTTATCACACAATCACACATGATTTCAACATTTCTCATGAACAACTTCTGAAAGTATTCGAGAGCAAGATGAATAAGTGCAGACATGTCTGAAAGTTCACTGGGTATTGAGCTGCAATTTACTGTTTTTTCTGTTGCTCCATACGATTCGCCTTAGTCACCTTTGCTCTGTTACATTTACAGGCATTGTCCGATCAAGCCGATCAATATGTTGCTCACATACAATATCCACATTGTTCCCATTAACGAATTTTTAAGTCTTAAAACTCGCTTTAAAACTTTCTAACAACTGTATGGACAATTCGGTGTTACGCACTCTGGTATTAGTGCATAGTAGGTGTGTAGTTATTATCGAGCACACTGTACTAAGATTTGCAACCAATACCCGGTAATTAACCTCTTGAAAATGACGTCTATTTGAAATAGTCTTTAGCGGGACTATTGACTCTACTTAAAAAAATTTCAAGAGAGTAGATTAATTCTACCAACGTTAGGAATGTAGAAATGGAATGATACTCGGCTCAACAAACTGTAAATAAAAATTGAATGCTAAAGATTTTAGCAAAGTAACTACCTTCCGCAACCAGCTGTGTATAGTGAAGTCAGGATAGATGTCATTTTTTACAAAAAGCGTCAAATATGAACTACTGAGACTCTAAAAGATGTCTGTAAACAAATATCGGTTTTATTACTTCACTACTTTAAATAAAAGACTATAGGAATATTGATTAATGTTCCTTCTAAACAAATGAAGCTAACTTAAACCAGGTATTTCCTAGGTACTTTTTTTTAACATATAATAGAAAACTACATATATCTAAATATTATTCTTAAAGCTTCATATTATTTCTTAAATGATAAAAATGTTTTACTCACCATTTACACCGAATAATAGAACCACTGAGAAAAGCAGCATTTTTGTGTCACTGAAATAAATCACAGCATCTATTACAAAACCTATAAATCTACAGTAGTGTTTATAGAAACAAAAATATGCTATAGCAATAATATTAAAGAAACTTTGTTGCTAAACAAGAATACTTTAAAATAGATTAGAACGGCCTCGTTTTATAAATAATGATCAGTATATTGTAAACAAAGTCTATACTTAAAAATAGCACATCATAAAAAGTTAGAAATCGCATATTAATTACTACGGAGTTTTATCATTTTAATTAAAGTGGATTTCTTTAATTTATTAAAACGTAAATAAAACCGAAGCATGTAATCGATTACAGTACACTCTGATTAGTTTAAATAGGATGTATTACAAATATATGCTTAAATCTGTGTCTAAATAATATATATAAAGTGATTCCCTTTTAACTACTTTGCATAACTTCCATTTAAAGTAAAAATTTAAAAAGTTTATTCTATCTCTTTTACTTCAATTACGTCATCATATTAAGAAAAAACTTCAAAAACACTAATGCATTTAAAGTAAATCTTATAATATACATTTAAAGGGATCCTTAAATTATGTCATTTCTCAATATATTCTATGGATAACAATTACAAATCTAGAAATTCATTTCCTATATTTTGTGAAAAAGTGAAATTTCGTATTGTAATAACTAAATGTCCTTAGGAATGTTTGACACATATAAACTCGAATCTGGAGTATAGATCTTAGGTATTAAAATTATCTTAGGTATTAAATTATCTTATTTAAATTATCTTATTTAGTTGATAATACCCAATAGACAAATTATCCGCGTTTGCTCTACACTGTAAAAAAAACCTCGAAGTTTACAGACAAAAGTCTTGTATCTTTACAGAAATGCGAACAATTACGAAGGAAAGACCTGTAACGAACACAGAACCAAACGAAACTGTAAACTCTACAGGAGTTTTTCAAGAAGTTTTGCTTGGATTTTGTCCGTAACGTGTGATCACGTGGCTTAAAACGGCTGAGAGAGAAGAACCAATCAGGAAGAAGGTGGAAAAACAGCGTCTTAGCGGGAGAGTTCAACGATAGTCGCCATGTTAGCCATTATTTTTGCTATGGTCGAGGTAAGTTCGAAATAGTGTTTGACGTGTATTTTACTAATTTTATGTAATGTATTTGTTATGTTCTTTACACTATCTATAATTAAATTCTTTTAATGTTTAGCTTATAATTCTAATGCTCCTAAATAAACCTGTGTTGAATTATTGTTAGAGTTCAAATCACAGAGCTTGTGTTCCATTTAGTAAAATAACAACTTTTATTCGTTACATCTGCAGGTGTCTGCAGTTAAACTGCTCATATTTATAAACAGAAACAAATTTGTTAATATGTTAGTTTAAAAACAAATAAGCTTAATATTAATGTTCTATCTATAGTCTAATAATTTCTCATGTTAAATATTTATGTATCTTTTAAAACATATCGCGTTAGAATATTCATATTTTTCATTTTGTTGACAGATGTAACATTATTATTCCATATACATGTTATCATTAATCCCAGCGTGAACTGCTTTAGAATATTTTTCAGAGCATTATTACACTATGTATGTTATTATTAATCTCAACGAAAAAGAAAAAATAAATGTAATATATTTAAAAAATTCGACAAAATAACTTAACATACATTAAAAATGGAATATCATTTCATTAATACATGCGATAAGTTCGCCTTAAAAGATTATATAGTCGGATAGCAATTACATATTTGTAAAAGTATTCAATGTATATTATTTTTTGTGTTAAAGATAGTTTTAATCCAGGACAGTCTTTACCAACTTATAAAGCATCTATTAAGTTACATTATAACCAACATTTACAAAAGGCAATCGAAATGCCGTGACTTTGACATATTTTTAACTATGATGTAACATACTAGGAACATTAAAGAAAAAAAATTCTATTTTTTTTCCTTTATGCTTGTTGAAAAGTAAAATATTAATAAAATGGTACAACATTCATTCTAGTACTTACAATGTAAATTTACATATAAATTTACTATAAATTTTGGTGCAAAGTTCATTATAAAATGCATTTGATAATATTTAATATTTATAGCATTCAATATCAAATCATGGAAATATTAGTAATGATACGTCAGTTGCATATATTAATTTCAATACTCAGCTCAATGCCAAATTTCTTCTATATCTGAGATAACATGTATTTTTTGAAAATAATTCTTTTGTGTCATCTTTTCATTTAAAAATCTCTTTCAGATATATTTTAATGTGAATTATTTTCAAAATTATCCTCATTAGAATGAATGTTGTTCTCTTTAATATGTTTGAAACTGCCGTTACGCTAAAAAATATATTCAAAAAACTATTTATTGCTGAATGTTTAAAATAAGTTCTACTGCTCCTTTTTGACAAAGAGTATCCATTTGAATTGCAGTTGGTTTTAATTAATCGTTGGTTGTATTTTTAAGAACTACTTGATAAAATTCAACAAATTAGTTCAATCTATGAGTTCATCTGAAAAACCTAAAATTTTTATTCCAATTCTGTCATGTGTATATATTTCAAGAATGAAAAAGAATTACAAATTCACTATCCAACAATACTGAGTAATATGTTGTTGATATAGCCAAACTTAAAATGACCCATTTTAAAACCAGATTAAATAAATCATCGCGTATTTTCGGTCATCGAATTTCTTTGGCGTTAAAAGTGTCATAGATTTAGTAAATCCAAGGGTCAAGGTAAGCTCAAATATTTTTTTTTCATAGTTCATATTTGCTAAGTTATAAATTTTGCTGATGCAAAAGTTATGTAACTTATGCAAACATATGCTTAGAGTATTTGAACTAGTGTTGAAAAATCACTGGAATTTAAAATGTAATTGACAGTATGCCTTAAAGCTTGTTTTGGTAAAAGCATATTTATGGGTGCCCCTTGGCAAAATTTGGCGATTTTTGGCAGTACATGGATACCGAGTTTTGTGCAATTCTTTGACCATGTTATTTTGGCTTGTGTAGCGACGATTTGTGTGCCAAAAACCGCCGCTACACGAAGACAGATTGCACATACTCGGTATCCATGTACACATCGACCTATTTTCACTTAAAAAAAATCTGTGAATTGTACAAACTTGGCATCGCGCACTCCCTTGACTTTATCCATGTACACATCGACCTATTTTCACTTAAGAAAACATCAGAGAATTGCACAAACTTGCGCTCCCTTGATAATACAGGGAGCACCCTTCAATATACTCTAACTGCTGTTTTTCATAAATTAAAACATTTTAGGCATTTAAAGGCATTTAAGATATCTTCCTGTAAGTTACAACTAAATGAATGACTCTTAAGCATAAAAATTTCAAATTTTTATGCTTAAGAGTAGAAGGAGTTATACACTTTTTAAATAACAGTGTCAGAAAAATATACTTTTTAAAAATATGTAAACCATTGTTTGAAGTATAGAAAAACCTTCCTTAGCAACTATACCTCTTTAAGTGATTATGTCAAGTATTCTGGTGATACAAACATTGATATTAATTATCACTGAGAATCATGCTTTGTGAAGTAACCACCTCCATTAAATATCAAAATTGTACAAAATTATGGAAAAGTTATAGAGTGGTTTTTACTGTATACTTAAAGTATATCATATCACTGTTAGATATTGATGATGTAAAAGATATTATCTAATCATAAATATTTCAAGCATTAAATAGCTTAGTGTAAGTCAATAAGTTTTCAGATTCTGACTTTGTACCCTGTCTTTCACTATGTAATATTTTTCTAGCAACTGTGTTAAGTACCAGTAAGTAAGTTTGTCTTAAATACCACTTAATGTAATCAGGTATCATCTGTTCTGTCTGTAAAACTTAATCGTAATAAGTGAACAAATGAATATCTGTAAAACTAAAGATGACACTCTATGTAAAAAATACAAGTATTAAAATGTCTATGAGAGGAACATTTAAAATATTAAATCCACGATCAATTTTTGCGACATCTAAGATAGAAAATACCCAAACTGACTAGTTAATTCAGAGGATGAATGCATGTAACATCATTGTTCATGTGTTTGTTAATTGTGTAAGTATTGAAGTTCATGCATTAATTGTGTGATAACTATATTATTGGCCTTATATATATATACTTGCATTTCAAAATTTTGTATATTTTGCCAGTGAGCTAAGTATTAAATGCTGTTACGTATAAGTTCATATTATGTGGAAAAGTAGTTTTTGATCTAACACTTTCTGAGAATTTTTTAATGTTGATCATCAAGCTTAAAGCATATGGCTGAAATTACCAGTATTAACCATAATTTAATTATTCTCCTGTTTCAGCGTTTCTCAAACTTTTTTCGAATAGAGATTATGTGAATTATCATAATTTGTGAATCACCTTGCTGCTGTTCCCTTCGAAAGCAATTTTTTAGCATATATTACTACTAGTACACTTATATTTTAATATATAATTAAAATCCGTTATATTTCATAATTAAGTCCATTGAAGAAAAGTTATATTTCTAATATTTCAAGATTATTAATGAGAAGGATGATTTGTAATTCTTGCATGGCTCTTCTATATTTGGATATATGATGGTAAGACCACAGTCTTAGTGGATATATGATAGTATATTTGGATATATGGTGGTAAGTACCACAGTTATAGTGCTTTAAATCCATCTTTTACTGCTAAGACTGAGTGGGAAGTCTGTAAGTAGGGTAATAAATTTCATAAAATGTCTATCTTACGAGAAAAGGTGATAGATGATTGTCATATGTAACTTTTTAAACTCTGAGATTTTTCAACTAAATTTTTTTGTCTCCTTTGGAAACTTCGGAGGACCATGAGGGCAAGCTGTATGATCCACAGATTGAGAAGTGCTACCTTAATACATTTCAATTTCTAGAGAAATTAATCTTAAAAAAAATCTGATCATTATTAAAACTACTTTACAGATTTATTTTATATTACAAATAAATATAGTAAATATCTAATAAACCTCAAATTATTTTCTGCAAAATGAATTATTTAAATTTGTACTGTTTTTGCTTCAAAAATGGATGATACATGCAATTTATGATTTCATGAAAGGACCAAAAGGAATCTTGTTTGCAATTTAATTATTTAATTTAAAAAAAGATTTAAATCATTTGGAATATGTGCAAGTGCATGCAATTATTATGAAGAGATTCTAAATTAAAATGTCACATAACAAATTTAGAATATGTTATGTACTTCTAACGAATGTGATTTTTTCTTTATTTAGGAGCCATGCTTTGAATCCTAAGAAGAAGAGGACTGCACCTTCACAACTATGAATAATTAAAAATAACAATAATATAAATTTTACCTATTTTTTTATTTTATTTTCCTTTTGGATAGTTTTCAAATAAAAATAAACCTATTTTTGTTTCTATATTCTGTGTATTGGAATAAAGAGTCGAAATCCATTGCAATATCCAATATTTTCAAAATATGATATTTTTTTAAATAAAATATATGATTATGGAATATTACGTTAAAATGAAATGGTTCCTTATGTAACCTGTATGTTACACTAAAAGGCTTCATCGAATACTTGTAAAGTAATGAGCAAATACTAAGTTAATATCTTGTGTGAATGAATATTATCTTACAGAATTTTTTATTCCATAAAAATCTATCTAAAAATATAATTTTGTTGAATGAAGATTTAAACATTTTTCCCGAAGATTTAAAAAGTCGTTTGAAATAATGATAACAAAAACATTAATCTGAACCATTTAATAAATGAATAGAAAATTTTGAGAACAATTAAATCATCCACAGGAATTTTGAAATAATCATCGTATTTTTGACATCAGTTAAAGAAAGAAAATCTGAGTCATTTTGATTATAGTGATAAATTAGTTCCATTAATAGTAGGATAGAAAATTAAAATTTTAAGGAGCCATTATGCATTATCAATTTTTCATTAAAAAATTTTTAGTTTATTACTACTATCATATCAATTATTAATGCTGAATTCTTTATCTTCAGTTTTTACATTCTTTTCTTAATTTTCTAGGCATAGCAGAGAAAAATATAATTATAGGATCAAGGCATTTCCAAATACATTATATTTTCTTCCTTAAATTTTTAAGATCATTCTATATTCATCATGTATTATAGACACAGTATCAGGGGATTCTGTTCAATTTTTCAGTTAGAATTTGGGACGAAGTTGTGAAGTCATACCTACATTAAATGCTTGAATTGATTATTTGAAATATGACAAAGCAAAAGAGAGGGCCATCTGTCCAAGGAAAGGAATATTTTAAGGAAAACTTCATGTTACACAAACATTTACACAGGCAGCCCATTCTCTAGGATTTAAATCTAGAGCCAAATGCTAGTGTTCAGCTTACTGTCTGGCTGCCTGTAGGCAATAAATGTTTTAGTAGAAGGAATACTTGAAAAATTAAATTTAGGACTAACTAATTCTTCAATTTTGTATTCAATGAGAAGAATGTAATTTATTAATAAAGTTTTAAATCTGGGAAAATACCTGTACAACTGTCCGATTAATTAATCTATTATTTCAATTAATGGTCAGTAGCAGAAGAGATTAAAAAGCATTTATGCCTAAAAGAATTATATGTTGTAATTAAAATGAATAATGCAATTAAGCATGAAAATAATTTTGGATAACTTGTGATAACTGAATTTAAGTTCATTGTTGAGTTACATAAGTAATTTTTTTTAGAATTTGAAAAAATATTTAGAATTGTTTATTGAAACAATTTCATTAAAATATTTTTTTACTGTAATCATATCCAATTGCAGTCTCTTTAGATTACACTGTTGGGTATAAGGAGAATGATTTGGTTTAGTTTACTTAAGTATGGCAAAGCACACTAGGACTATCTGCCTAAGTGGAGAAATGCCTTTGTGGAGGACTTTCGAAGGGAAACTGACTTATATACATGTTACACATGGAGAAAACCATGAAAATACCCATACAACCAGCCCATTCGCGGGATTTGAACCTCGGACCGAACTACCAGTGTTCAGCGGGGAATTCTAGAACATTACTAATTTATTGCCAAAAAACCATTAAGTCTAATACACAAGTTTTTTTTCCAGCTATTTCGTGATGCATATGTAACTTTGAGATGTCTTAAAATTCAATAAAGGAAAGTAATGCAGATGTAAGAAAAACATAAAATTTGAGCTTCTTTTTAACATTGGGAAATATTTTGAAAGAAAATGTTTGTATATCTTTTAGAAAATCTAAGGTATTTTTCCTTAAAAAAAAAAACTTAATATTTAAAGTTACATAACTTCCCTTTCCCCACAAATAAATAAATGCAGCATATTTTGTTACAAGCAGTAGCTGTAGACATTTCACATAAAACATATGTTCTACATGTGTAATTATTTATAGTAATATTACAATCAAAATATTTAATATTTAGGAATACATCATTTTTGTATTTTGTATAAGACAAATATGTTCTATATGCATAATTATTTGGAAGAACTTTTAAGTAAATTATCTGCAACTTTTACATATATATCCTTTAAAATTTCACATGAAAATACATGTTCTTACATAATCACTTGCAATAACCTTACAAGCAGAACACTAGTAATCTACAAATATTCCCTTTAGTAATTCACATTCAAAAATTACGATCTACTTACACTATTATTTCCTGTAATCTTTACAGATGTTTACATTGGTAAATCACATATGAAAAACATGTTATACTTACACGATAATTTCCTGTAACATTACAGATCAAAGATCTGTAACCTTTACAGGCATATGCTTCGGTAATCAACATACAAAAACTTTGTTATGCCTACAGAATAACTTCCTGTAACATTACATGTCAAACATCTGTAACCATTACAGGTATAATCTCTGTAAAGTTACTAAGAAAATTCCTGTTTTGATTACTCAAATAATCCATGGCATCCCAGTTTCCACGACTTTTCTTAGTAACTTTACAGATTTGTTTTTACAGTGTATGATGTAATACAAGTAAACGAAACTGAACGCAGAAAATTTCCTGAGGTTACTCAAAGGGCATGCATGATTTTATCAGACTGAATGTCATAAAATAGTACGTAAGAATCTAATTTTAATTACTTAAATGCTATTAGTTTACTAAATTATTAGCTTATGTATTAAGCAATGGAATGTTTAATGATTTTAAAGGAAAATTTATAAAGAAGTAGAATTCAATGATCGAAGCTAAAATCTTGTTTAAGATACTTCTTAGAAATATTAAAAACATAAAAATGAACATGGTTTAAACTATTGAGAAACGAACTTCATTTAAAATTTATTCGAGATGCCTATTAAATACATTCATCATTACAAATGTTTTTATTTTATGAATTTCATATGCAGTTTCAGCATGTTTCAGTTAATTAAGCAATCTAATGGTATAAAAAGTTCAAATTTGAATCATTATGCGAAAACATTTACACGAGTTAGGTTTATTTAAATGAGTTAGCATAAACTATATTCATCTGAATATAAATAAGCCACATATTAAATGGTCATTATTTAAATTCAAAATATTTGAAAAGAATGGAGTTAAATTGTACATTTTATTAGTAATAATGTCTAAATTATGAAATTTGAATAGATGGTTAACATATATCCTTTCAGTTCTGCTTCTGTATAAGTTTTTTTTAATTACTCTATAACTAATTTCATCATTTTTAACGTGCAGCAGATAATGAATATGCAATAAAAGGAATTTATAACTTATAACGTTATTTACCTCGGGTGACGCTGAAAAAACTGCTACAATTTATGCACGCGGACAACTATCCGTGGGAAATTTTTTTTGCGCTTGAGAGTTATATAGAAACCGTTATCTGAGGCAAATGCATGTTTGTTTTTTAGATAATATATTAGATTTTCTGAAGAGCAAACAGGTGTATTCATTCTAGAAAAAAATGAAAGATGTAAAGTGATAAGAATAAGCATGCAGATAGGCTTATACTCTAATAATCTGTTGAGTTCTTAATCAAAAGATTATTTCTGAAGTTGTTTTAGCATAAAGCCTCGATTATCTAAATGAACTAAAGCCATCCCGTTTAGGATAGTCGATTTTCGTAACTAAATTAAAAGAGCTACCTCAAATATCTCACGAACAGCTGATTGCAAAATGACTCTCAAGCATTTGAAATATTTTATCGTAATACTAAATTACATTTTTAAAAAAAAAAAAAAAAAAAAACCCTGGATAACATGCGCAAATATTTTTAATTTTTTAAGGTACTAACAACTGTTTTGGTATGTTGTTACCGTTCCTAAAAAATAAAATATACTACTCCGTGACGTTTTCTTTTGTATTTATTGCACAAAGAACTAGAATGCAAAGAACATCTCAAACACATAAGACTTTTAGGTACGGGAAATCGTCAAAAGTTGACTTAATCAATTAGGAAAAAGAGTTCAGTTGGCTTTGGTTAGAAATTTATGTTATAAATCATAAAATGAACTATACATATAAATCCTTGAGTTTACAGGTACAGGTTAAGGGAAGGTTGGCACCTGTGCATCCTACTGAGCATATTAGGTATCACCTGTCCTTGCTAATTGCTAAACTTCTTCCCCAATGGAATTCCATAAGAGAATACTTGGGAGGTTTTTTCCGAGCCTCCTAATATACTAATCCTTCTACTCTTCTCCTCCTCTTTCCTTGCGACCAACTTCTAAAAAGGATTTCTGCTCTCCGTGTATTTTGAGTGTCCACTTGACGCACAGACATTACACGCTTACAATCAATTTTCCGGGATTCAAGCCCGGGACTTTCGGTATGGTACCTATCATTATTAACCACTATCCCGTCTGGACGGAAGCTTTAATTTACAGCAGGCCTACGTAATATTATAACTAGCAATAAATTTTAACCTAATAAAAGTAACAGAAAAAGGAGAGATTATTACATATTAAAAGACCCAAAAATAATAGTAAATGGCATTGGAGTTATATCCAATACCTGCAATTCTTAAAATTAAAGCTGTAACTCTGTTATCTGTGTACTATGGAACTCTGATGGACATCCTCTACTCTTTCGTTTTTCAGCTAAATGTGACCTTACCTTTGATGTACGATGCAATCACTGACTCCAAGTTTATGTGCATGAAATCTTTACCTATCTAAAATAACAACTCTCTTCTCTGCTTTAGATAGAAAAAAATGTCACCTTACATTCTGCTTTTATGATGTATTTCCTAGTTGTTGAGTGGAAATAATCACAGAGCTATCGTAATTATTTCTTGAGTTTGATTCCAAAGAAAAGAACAAATATACACATATATCTTGAATCATAAACGTTGTAATGCCAACATATTATAAAACTTGTTGCTTTTGCAGCAAAATTACTAGCATTACACATAGACGTTTCTATTTACTTATGCCAAAATTTCTTCAATAATCTAGAAATAAAATAACTGATATGAAAGTACATCTTAATTAGAAAAAAATATACTTCATGCTTATGAAAATTCAGAACTTCTACATTAATTTTTTTCTACTAGACGAAGATACAAAGGATGAAAATACTAAGGAGCTATTGATGCTGAAGAACAGTTCTCCAACTATTAAGTAGTAATTTCTTTTTATTAAAAAACGAATCTGAAGCTCTGTGCAATATAACATTATTCTATGCAACAGTGGTTTCAAAATCTTGTAGATTGTAACCCTTGGTCACAAATAAAAGTCTAATATATATGCAAGATAATTTCTCCAGAGACGTCTGAAAAGAAATTACTAGCAGTTCACTAGCATTTTTACAATTAGATGATAGTTCATAGTTCAATAAAAAGTACATCTGCACTTATTATGATGTCAAATTAGTTTATACTGCTTTTATTGATTTAAAATTATTCTTTATTCAGAATCTTTATGATCATTTGAAAAGTAAAATAAAAAAATATAACTTTATTTTGACTGTTCCTAGGCAGTATGCTCTGATATCATATCAAAGTGGCCCATTCTATTTTACCATAATATGCGCCTGATTTTGCAATTGGGTACTGTTGAATTCGGTTTTCTATTTTATTGATGCATTTTTGTCATAATGTAGCCTTTTTTGCTTCCTTGCAAGAAATAAAGGAAGTATTGTGATCACGAGAAACTTCGGGTATCGTGTTTCATATCCATTTTTATCGTTCCCGCATCCATTTGGACGATTTTTTGCGCAATGTCTGTATGTACGGACAGAATAAAGGACTTTTTCTTTCAAAACTAATTGTAAAATAGATTCAAAAAGAACGTTTTTCATGATGTATATATGTATCTCGCATAAGTCAAAAACGAGTAGCCGTAGAAATGTTTAAATTTTGTATATGGAGCTGCTAACGTCTAGTTGTGCGTCTCCCTTTTTATTGCAATCGACAGTACTAAACGTATATGTACGTGTATATGTATGTATATATATATATATGGTCACTTGCTTGGATTGAAAATCCTTACCCGATCTTTATTTTTGCGACCGTTGCTCGCAGTCATATACTTCCAGTTGCAAAAGTGTTTTAAATGACGAAAATATCCCTGTTTTGGCAATGTTAAATTTAAAAAATTAATTTTCAACAAGTAACGAAATCTAACTGTATATATAATAACAGTTTATATATGTAGTTAGTCTAACAATAAATATAGCACATTTTAATATCAGTTTATTGTTGTAAATATCTAACAATATTTAATATCGGTTTATTGTTGTTCTAAAAAGGATATTTAATAGGCCGTACAAGGTCGTCATGTGTCTACGTGAGGCTTTTTTTATTTGTATAAACCATATAAGTAACATATTTTATTTCTACTTACCATTATTTCTTATTTTTGTAAACAATGCTGTGCTCTGAGAATTTCGCCTCAAGAGGAATATATATTTGATATCTTTGTAATATCAATTTCTAGTAATACTGTTGTAGTTTTTTTTGTATATAACTGTTCTTCAGTATTCTAGCATTAAAAATTATAACTTTCTTCTCCCCCTCACATAAAACATCTATTCTTGACAACTGTCAGTATATCCTTGAAGTTATACATGGCACAGCTGAAGAATTGTTACTATACAGTAAATTCAATTTATAGTATTTTTATGAATGTCTTAAGTTTGACGCTAGTGACTATGATAAATACTGTTCATGCCAAATTCCTTGCATACTTCTGCACATATATGAGCTTATGTTTAAAATGAAAATTAATCATGGAAAAAGAGTTTTAGATGCATTCATTTTAATTTTCCAGATGAACATAAAGGTATAAATATTGATATAGCATGATGTTTGATTGGTAAATATTATAGTTTCTTTACTATAGTGTTTACCAAACAAACATTTATTGAAAATAGTTATTATGGGATATCAGTAAATAAGGTATGGTATGATCAAATATAGACCATTATGTGTCATAAAATGCTTATAGCAAGTGGTAATATTTTATTTAAGAAATTAATGCGTTAATAATGGTAGGTGATAAATATATATTTATTTTTGCAGCAATGACAATCTCTAAAGTCATATCAATAACCCAAGCCGCAAAATTTAGGAAGAAAAGGAAAATACAAGAAAGATAAGAAGAAAAATTTCAAAACATTAATAACAATAATGTAGACGCACAATGTAGTTTGAATGATATTAAGAGTAAAATGTACAGAGCATAGCATTTCTTATAAACTGTTCAAATTGCATGAAAAGTGTTTCATTAGAAATGTTTCTTCCTACCATTCGGAAAGATAGAAATCACTCCTCTGATGGTATAAACCATATATTTTACAAATATAATGAACTGTATATATACATTCCGCATACGTTTTTTTAAACATAGGTAGTTACTGTTATGATTACCTGACAGCCCAAATTTAAGATCAAAGGCTATCCCAATTACAATGTCTCATGTGTAATGATAAAAAAAATATTAGTAATTTGAATTGTACAATAACAATAAAATTCATTTTATTTTTAAATTCCATTTATTCTTAGTGCTTGAAATATCTTTGTTAAAGGCAAGAAGAAAATGTACACATCGCTGAAAGCAGAAACATTAAAATATACATAAATGAGAAGATTTACTTAAATTATATCAAATTATATAAAATATAACAATTTTCTACTGTGATTCTAGGACTCTTGTGACTTTTATTGAATCTAAATTAAGCTTTGATTGGAGGATTAAAATACTGACTGGCAAGCCATACTTCCAAAAATTTCATATTATCCTCCCCCCCCCTAAAAAAAAGAAAGTTTAGTCCTGATATCTAGCCAGATGTAAAGACTTCTGTTAAAGTATTAATTTTTCCCCTGAAAGTATCGCGAGTACTAACTTGCCATCATGCCATTAGGTCTATAATTTTCATTTTAGCCTCACTTACCTAGAAAATAAATCAATTTCGTACTTGAAATATGAATATTCTGTAAAGTTTTAAACATAATATGAAAATCATATTTTCACATTAAACAGAATATCGTCTTAAAAAGTCAATTAAAGCTAAATCTTTCAAAAAATCAATCTGAACATTGAAACACAAAATTCAAAATAATATTTCATCTATTTCATTAAGTTATATTTTTTATTAGTTGACATACTTCTTTTGGTCTTGGTTTATTGAATTTATAGTGTGGTTCATAATAATATGTCAAGAAATGTGTACTTTCTTTAAAAAATCTCAAAGTATAAAAATGTTAAAAAGAACGCCGGACATTCAGTAGCATGCATAATTTCAACGACTGATTAAATCAAATAGTTATCAATCTTATTCTGATTTTCTGTTTGTGGAAATTAAAAATTTATTTCTTAATTGCTTTACACTGAAATTAGCTGCCTGTGTAAAAAGAAATCAAAAACCAAAAAAAAATAATAGAACGGATATAA